CCTCTCAATAGCCTATTTTGAAATTCAAAGTGAAGACTATGACTTGCTGAATTCTGCTGGGTTCTTTGGTATATTCCCTTCTCTAGGACAAAAGCCTCAGGCTAGAGACCTCATTTTAATGGTGAAAATGTTGTAGGGTAAAAAGGAAATGCCAAGAAGGAAGACTACATCTGTTAATATTTTACATGATCTTACAGCTACTTATATGGCATGAACCAAATGACCTAGGTGTTCTACAAAATTTTGCCCTTTTGGGGGGAACTGGGAAAAACTAGGCACATTTCTCAAAATGTTAAGTTTAAATAGTTTTTGAAACTTACCATAAAAGGCAGATTTTTCTCTTCCTCCTTGGCTTTGAAAACATTCCCTATGAAACCCCATTCTTTTCCATGATGCTCCATAACCTAGGAGGGTTGGTTGGCAAAATTCCATAAAGTAAGCAGTTCTCACTGCCATAGAATAGACTGAACTACCTCCTTGGGGAAAGAGAAAAGCCCTGTGGCTAAAAATGTCAAGTCTGGGATCTTAAAGCTCTACCAGAGCCCGTGGGGAATATTGTGCTCTTGGCTGGGGAACAGGCTGGATCGCTGGGATGTCTTTTCACCAGTTGTTGATTTCTAGGATTCAAGGAAAACAGACCTTAAAAGGAAGGGAGGAAGTACAATTTTCAGAGAACAAAAGTAAGATTAGTTATCCTAATATTTTGAAAAGTGTTTTTATGAGTATTTAGCATTTGCTATTGATGAAATATCACATATAAAAGAATCAATTAGCCCTGGCCTAATGGCTCAGTTGGTTGGAGCATGGGCCTGTACACCAAAAGGCTGTGGGTTCGAATTCACAGCCAGGGCACATACCTAGGTTGGGAGTTTGATCCTGAGTTGGGATGTGTATGGGAGGCAACCGATCGATGTGTCTCTCTCTCTTTCTCTCTCTCTCTCTCTCCCTCCCTCCATAAAAACATATCCTTGGGTGAGGATAAAAAAAATTAATAATAAAAGAATCAACTAAATGCTGATATTATGGAGTCAGGCTTCTAATTACTGGAAAAATGTCAAAACACCCTCAGATTTATGAGTTCATGATGGTAAACTTGATTTTTCTCATACTATTCACAGAATGCTTATGATAAATGCAGTGCAAATGGAAATAGTCTTTATTCCCAAACTGTTGAACTGTTGAACTGTAATATTCACCTATGTGAATATTACCATAGCAGGTATATACCCCATGGAAAAATGATTCATGACTAACTGATGCATGTGTTTGTATGTATATAAATATAGATGTGTATGCATACTTATATATATATAATTTTTGAACATTGAAAGGTATTTTTACACACTAGGGAGAGTTTGATATTTTAATTTCTCTAACAATAACTTTACATCATGGATTTGTGGTTAGGAGCCTGTGTGCGACGGTAGAATTGCTTGGGCTAAAACCATTGATTAGCTGTGTGACCTTGGGAAAAGCAGAGAACCTTGTTGTATAGCAGTAACCAAATTTTAACTGCACCCCAATGGTGTGGCTGTGGGGTTAATCAGATTAGAAGATGGCACTGTATAAGGTATACAATAAAAGTGAACTTTCATGATAATGACTAAAATGTGCAAGGCCCATGCTAGATACTGTGATGCTTATCTCTCTGGCATGAAGAAAAAAGGCTCAAGGCAGATTGTGTAATAAACATCGTTTTGCAGGCATCCAGCCTATGTTAATCCTGCAGTGGCTTAGCCCTGGGCGGGTGTTAAATGACGCAGATGCTGATGCTGGATTAAGGCTGTGGACAACAGAGGTTGGTCAAGCTGTGTGTGCTCTGAGAAGTAGGCCAACCCATCAATTTTTTCAGTTTATAAAAGGATGTGACTCCGTCAGTTGATGTTTTCATATTTTCTGAGATTTACAGAATGTTCCAGACTGTGGTTATTCAGCTTCAGGGGCAATTTTGTACAAGGACTGGCACAAAACTTCATGTCTAATTGCCAAATGAATATTACAGTTAATGAATTCCCCATGAGATCAAGGACAGAGCTGCTTATTATGGTCTGGGAAGATCAGGAAGGCCTTGAAAAGGAGTGGTTATGAAAGGGCCTCCAAAAGGAATGGAAGGTAATCCTTAGATTAATCCCCTAATTCAATTTCTTAAATTTATCATTTTAAATTTTCACCTAACAACTGTCCCTGAATGGTATCCATAACAAAAGATAACTTCTTTTTTTTTGCTAAATTATGTGTTCAATAGGGTTCCAGTGTTGATCTGAGTATATAACCACCTATCACATAGCTTCTGTGGGGAAAAAAGGAGCACTCTGAATTTCAGACAATCAATGTATAAACCCTTTTTCAAAAATTATTTGATTGGTTCTTTCAACGATTGTTCAATGAATACTCTTCATGTATCAGACATTGTTGTAAGCACATATGAACAACAACATCAACAAAAAACAACGAAGATCCTTGCCCCCAGGGAGCTGACATTCTAGAAGAGAGACAGCTAATAAACAGTAATTGGTATCATGTGTTGGAAGGTGATAACTGCTATGAAAAAAGAAAAAGTAGAGCAGGGTAAGAGGGATGGGGATGGGTGGTCATTTTACATTGGCTAGTCACTGAGAAGGTGGCACTGAAGCAAAGTGTGAAGGTAGCCAGCTAAGGCGACTGACCATATCTGAGTGGTGGGGTAAGGGAGGTAAGTTGGGGGTGGGGGTGGGGACTGAACTTGCTACATCATGTAGCGCTTTGCAGGCTATTGTACAGCCTTTGAGAAGGTTAGAGGTCACTCCTATTGGCATGTCTTAAAATAAGGTCTGCCTGTATCAAGATAATTCCTCCTTTTCCCCGTCTACATCAACTTTAATGTGCCTACAAGTCACCTGAGACCTTGTTAATATTTAAATTCTGATTTATTTTTATTATTTTCCCCTCACTTTATTAAAAACATTTTATTTCAAGAAAAACGATTTTAAATATAATAAAGTTACATGCAATAAATATTAATATTTCAAGAAAAACGATTTTAAATATAATAGTTTTAATATGCAATAAAAATTAATATTTTAAGAAAAAAGATTTTAAATATATTCATATTACCCAAACTGTACTAACATAGTATACTATCACATACACAAAAATCTGGCTTTTTTTGTGTAGGCTGAGGTACGGCCTGGAATTCTGCATTTCAAACAAGCTCCCAGGTGATGCCAGGCTGCTGCTGCTTCACTGTCCCACATGATGATGAGAGTAAGAGGTACTGGGCTCCCAGGGGCGTTGCAGCTTCTCTCTCCATTAGGGGGTTTCCAGGCACTTCTTGTTCCCTTTAAGCCTGAAAGGACAACTGCGAAAGCTTTTCATTCATACTTTCACACTGGTCACGTGCTCACCACTGGCCTCACTCTTTCCTGTGACTGCTTCAGCTGATGTTTTAAATACTTTCTGGTCCTATCACCCTGGCTAGTAAGAGCATGGTCCAGGGCTCCCTCTGGTAACAGGAGACAGGCTGTCTGGCTGTTTCCATGCAAAGTCTAAGAAGTGCCTATGGCCTCCTCACTGTCACCATGGAGTCTCCACTCCTGAACCTCACCCTGGGAGACCCTGCTCTGCTTCTTGAATGATAATCAGACTCTGGCCACCTGCTTGTCTTACTCCAATCACGGGAATGCTGACTTGGCGGCCTTCACTCCTGCTCCTACACCTTGAGTGACAGCCCAGCTCTGTAAACTGGCCTGCGGCAGCTAGAGGTCTGGGTGATGCTAGCAAGGTAACTGACAGCTGAGCAAGCCTGGGTGGCCTTGTGAATATAAAGCACAGGTGATGAGTCAGATAGGCTCGGGTGTGAACTGGGATTCGTCCCTTACTGTGGACTCTCAGGAATGTTCCTTGGCGTCCCTGAGCTACCGTGTTCTCACCTGGAAAATGAGAATAACAATACCTCCCTCATATACTGATAGAATGCATATAAAGCACTTAGTAAAGTGCCTAATTCATGATACTCACCAAATACTATTATTTTTTAAATATATTTCATTGATTTTTTACAGAGAGGGAGAGAGAGGGATAGAGAGTTAGAAACATCGATCAGCTGCCTCCTGCACACCTCCTACTGGGGATGTGCCCGCAACCAAGGTACATGCCCTTGACTGGAATCGAACCTGGGACCTTTCAGTCCGCAGGCCGATGCTCTATCCATTGAGCCAAACCGGTTAGGGCCAAATACTATTATTCTTAGAATTACTGTTAGCATCCCAGCACGGATCCAATCGCTCGGTGGCCTGGCATTCTGGTACTCACCTTTCCAAGCCCGGGATGCTTTCCAAGATAAGACCTGGAGACCGATAGCAGTTGCATCATGATAGATGTCGCGGGAAATAATGGAAGGAACTGAAGGTGTTTCCTTTAGAAAGTAGATAATGGGACAGACGGATGCTCCCTTCGGGTGGGCTAGTATGTGAGGAGTGACACGTGTTTCTAGGAGACCCCGAGACCCAAGGGGAGAACTGAAGGGGAAACCCCCCGCCCTGCTGTGAGTTAAGATGAGGGTGCGAGGGGGGTCGGGGCGCAGGCGAGGGGGGTTCCTGC